TATATATATATATATATATATATATATATATATACAGATTTATAGATGTATGCGGATATATTTCTACAGTCGCAACAATTTTTTTTTGCTTTTTAATTTACTTGAAAGCTTTTTTCTTGTAGAATTTGTCGGACGGTAATACAGATATATTAACAAATTTGATTTAAAATGAAAATGAAAACAAGCATTGAAAATATTCTTTTTCAAATACAGAATTTCAAATTTGTTGAAAAAGAGATTTTTTTGAAAACATAGTTTCTGCACATCATATAGAACTGTATCTTTTCGGTGTCAAGAGTTACGATACGATTGGTGGCAGTAGACTGCAAGAAATCTGCATTTGATGCAGAATTTGGTATCTCCGCGAGTAGTAGGGCTCCTGTTTCAACTAAAATTTTATGAAATATAATCACTTATATAAGTTACTGGAACTTTTCCTGGTTCTACTACTTTAATAGCAGGCAAGTTGGTTGAAAGTTCTAACTTTTAATCAGTTTAGAAAAGTTTTTTGGTAAAAAGTTATTTTTATAATTACACTCTTTATTTATACCGCTCTGCTTCCTTACCGAACTCTTCACACATAGTGCTGGGTTGCTGAGTGTAGATATTGTCTTGTAATTATCTTCTCAGCTTTGTGCGACAAAGGACAGTGATACTTTTGCAATTTTTGGGTAAAACAGAGCTTTAATGTAGGTCAATAAAAAGTTTGTTGCCATTGAATATGTTTGGAGGAAGTCTTGTGGCGGAAAGATCCAAAAATAACTAGCAAATGTCCTCAAGACAGTATTTGGAAAAAACCAGGACAAGAATGAGAATGAAAAACAACTTAATTATTGGCAATTTCTTGGTTTATTTCAAGCGTGTGAAGCGTGAATTCCAGGAAATCTGCATTATCTAATATTTACTGTTGTGAGCTATTGAATCGTTCTGGCCGTACTTACCGAACTGATAATTTAGGAATTATTCTGGTGTGGGTTGAAAGAAAGACTTCTGGGTTACCTGGCAGTGTCAAGATTTGCAACAGCTGTAGAGTTATAGTCAGAAGTTGGTTGAAAAAGAGAGAAGTGATTGCTTTACTGCAGCGGCCTACTGCACAAGTTTGTAATCCTTAAGCTTTCTGCATTGTTTTTGCAAGATCGCGTATTGTACAATTTTTGCTCGCCCGGTAGCTCCAGTAGGTCCATTGCAGCAATGAGTGAAAACCTCGTAGCAGTCGGAGAAACACAGATTAATAAACAATTTCCAAGGCGGAAAGGCTACTCGCGAAGAAAGTTTGTTAAGCTTAGAAAGATAAAAAGAAACAATTTATTTGGAATAAAGAAAGAATTGACCTCTTTATTTAGCTCTTCACCCTTATACTTACAATCAGCAATTCTCTCAAACAATGATTTACGCTTGGAAACTAGACTTAACAATAAAATAGTGAAACAAGTTGGAAGCAATAAGTTAAAATGACAATAGCTCTAGAATTTACTAGAGAAATCTAAAGTTGACAACTGGGCACGAATTTAAGTAAATAAGAAACATACCATAAAACAGTGAAAGCAAAATATTGTTGAATAAGGGTTCGTAGCTTGAAGCATTGGGTAATAACGTCGATGTCAATGTTGTCAAATGCAGGATAGTGCCTCTTTTATAGCTGACTTCCGTCAGCTCAGATAGTCAATCTGCAACTCCTCCGGGAGCTTCTCCTTACAGAACTGCAGTGACCTACAGTTTTCCTATGGTGCCCTTCGCTAGTGTTCGCGGCAAGCAGTTACGCTAGCGGTCTATACTTTCTGGTTTTTCTATCTGTTCGTATTACTCAAGGTTTGCATCATTTTTTTTTTCGGTTTTTCAAAGCCAAGGCACAAATTCTGCATAGTAATTTTTATTTAGTGCTTTAACGTCGTATTTCTTGATAACAATTTGCCTTCATAATGTTGTGTAATTCATACCAACTTTAGTTACACTATGGTACTTGCTATTTAAAAAGGTTTGCCAAAGTAGAGATTTTCAAAACAGTTTTGTCGTAGCGAAGCAGTTCTGGTTTTTGTTCATAAGTTGCTCAGAGTATGACGGTCCAGAAGCGTAACGAAGATATTAAGTGATCCAACCCAAATATATTACAGCGTAGAGTGAAGATTATTTTTCAACCTTAAGTCATTTCGGCTACCTGTAGACGTGAAAGTTGAAGAAGACTTACTGTAAAATTTAGCAGTAGCGGCTATCATTGGTAGTAGTGTTGAAGAAGTGCTACACAAGCCACCGTTTTTATATCAATGAGTACAAAATTTAAATTTAGAAATACAATGAGTACCTGAATAAATAGAAACAAGATTTTATTTTTTTTCAAAAAAAAAAAATAAAAAAAAACAGGAAATTTCGTCTAAGAAAAAAAACAATAAAAACAGATCGCTTGTATACTTTAGAAAACTCACCAATAAATTTAACTGAGCATCTTAAAATTGTAGTTTAATGTATCATACAGCACATCGTACAAAATTTATACAAGACATTACAGCAAATTATACCATAAAGTTATTTGTAAAAAATTTTACTAATATGGTTGCCATTCTGCTATTTACACTTATAAATGAGACACACTTTGTTAAAATTTATATTTATTGTCTTTTTTAAGTTAGTTCGTTAACTAAATTAAAATGACATAGTGCACAGTACTTAACTGATCTGATTTCACGTTCAGAGGCTCGATGTTTGCAGGAAGGACAACTCCAGAAATGATATTCTAGCAGGGGTTGTCCAGTGATCACACAGGCAGGAAAATTTGTGTTACAATGAGGGCACGACGAACAGTAATTCTGAATTTTTCCTTTGCAGTAAGGACACTCCACCAAAGCTTGCTTTGTGTCTTCAGGAGGATGCCTGTTATTTGACAGTAGTTAATATGATGTAAAAATCGTTGAGAAACAACTGAATTAACAATTTAAATTTATAAAAAGAAACATAAAGATTAAGGTTAACTTTGTGAATATTTCTATAGCCAGTTTGCTGTATGACTGCCTCTCCTGTTCAGACAATGTTGGAAGCGATTCCAGTTTCATGAACGCACGGCTACAGACGTAGAACTGGCCAGCAGCACAACTTATCAAAGCTAAATTTACAGCAAAACAGATTGTGAGGAGACGAACATAAAGAAACTCCTTATGTTTTGTTCCTACTGCATAAAGCCAAAAAACGTTTCACTTTTTTCCTTGAATAAATTAAATAATTGATCTTCCGTTCGCTACTACTTTACAGCAACCTTCTTGCACAATTAACCTTTGTTCGGCCTTTTGCTTACCCAGCAAAGAATATATTTCTACAGGATCTATGTAGTCCTCATAGTCTGTAAGGTGTACGGCAGTTTTCAGAGCTGCTTCTAAGCGTTCTGAAAAATTTGTTTAAACGTTTGCTTTAGATCAGATATATTAAATGAATAACAAGGTTTTTCAGTCAGTTTATGTAAAAAAAGTCAGCAAAGATACAGCGGGAACTTTTTGAAAACAGTGACGAACCTTCAAATGGTACGGTTGTAAAACCTCTTCTCCGTTTTGGAATGTGCCATTCCTTACTGAACTTTTCTCAGAAAAAAAATTAAATGAAATTATTTGAAGACGTGAAGGTCCCCGAAATATCTTGACAAAATTTTTTAGCAGAATAAATATTGCTCTTGAAGTGTGTATCTGCTTCCAAACGCCGGTTTCTCAAAATTACGATTGTACAACAATAAGTCCCCAAAGGTACTCCATTACTCCTATACTTTTTTTTTGCAACAATTAAAAACTCCTGAGAGATGTAGATAGATAAAAATCAGTTTTTTGACCAAACTGATTGATTATCACTATCACTGAGTTAGAATAAGCATTATGAAATGTGCTTACAATACCAGTGCTGGCGTCAAAGAGCGTATAAAAAAAACTAAGCTTTTAACAATGAAACCTGTGATCTATTAAACAGTTCGGAAGTTTTCTTAATTTGTTGTCTACTAAAGACTCCTATCAAATAGAGAATTAACTGCTAATTACATTACTTATTTTTATTCTTCGTGTATTTTCGCGACTGCTAAATTATAGAGGAGACGGGCATGAAGGAACCCTTTGTGTTTTCTTCCTATCGTGGAAAAAAATAAAGATAGCATTTTTTGTCAATGGAACAGTTTTTTGAAAGGAATTATGAAACCTAACACACGGCCGAGAAAACCATGTTCATCTGTTTACTTAATGGACATTACTGACTTTGATAAAACTGTCGCTGAGCGAGCATGTAAAAGTGGTAGGCTTCAGCACCCCTCCAAGCGTTATCTATAAGGATGGAGTCTGCAACAGAAAGGCTTGTATTTTCTTCCATTAACTCCTCCAAAGCGATTTTTACCTATAATTTTAAGTGTTTCATGTCAAGCTTATTATTTAAACAAAAACTGATTCCAAACGTGGTTTTATTAAAGTTTTTAAGTAACAAGAGTAATCAGGACGTAGACTCATCGTCATCGGAGAAAACGTTTTTTAGTATATGAATCTTACCATAATTACAAATTCTTAAACGGAGAATGAAGTTAAGTAAGCTTTTAAGTTATCGACATACTTTGGACTTCTCATCATCATTATTTGCTATCTTCTTCCTATGATGCTGATGATATTGTTCAATCAGAAGGGCATTTAGAACATAGAGCTTTTTAAGCCGTAAAGGTTGAGCTTGCTTTTTCCTTTCCTCATTCGCAATCTGTAATTATGCTTCAATATCTGACAGATGTGTGCCTTTGTGCCTTTTAATTCTACTTAATAATTATACGCATTTGAGCGGCTATCAATATTTAACGGCAGCAACCAAATTTATTACCAAAAATTCAGAATCAAAAATCACATTAGCTACGTGATACTAACGTCTTTCCAACAGCGCGGATGGGAATGGGAATTACGTTGAACTGTTAGAGCAAATTATGTCAAAAACTACCACTTCCACGTGGTTTTTGAAAGTGCTTATATAATATGCATTCAAGAAAGAACTCATAAATCTAAATAAAAACATGTAATTTTACATAGGTTTAAATCTCTCCCTCGCTTACACTCGAATAGATGGCTCCTTTATCTGCGTTAGCGGTTTAGCAAAATTGCCGGAAAAAAATTCTTACCTTAATCTCAAGTTCGAAAAAAAGGATATGGTTTTAACTCTGAAACCCTTATGTTTTATGTACTCTAGATGCAGTAAAGGTTTGACTCAATATGGGTAAAAAATCCTTATAAGTAGTAAAAAACAATGCATTTTTTCCACGTCGCAAAGATGGCATGTGAATCTGTATTTTACCTCAGAAACAATCCTTGCTGCCTTGATGTAGTTGCCGCTTCTACGATAAAGTTGTACAACAGCAAGCGTCTTCTCGCTGCTTTCTGCAAATTAATTTTAAAAAACCTGCTTTATTGCAACAAGTATTACTGAAAGTTCCTCTCCACAGTTTGAAGACTGTGACGACCAAAAGCCAGTAAACACTGGTTTGCTATAGTCGCTGAAAGGAATGAACTTATTTTTTGTTAAAACAAATACTCACTGTCTTTTAAATGGTCCGTGTATTTCTTCAGCAGAAAGTCAATATCTTTTAAATTATAATCTTTAGATAATTGCACAGCCTTCTCCCACTGGTTCAGCTGCACACAAATGTCCAATGCAGCTTTTGCTTTGTCACACTAAAAGAAATTCCAGTTGTTTCTTTAATAGGCTTCCTTTACTATCACTTTACTGAGTTAATTACTAGTAAGTTGGTGGTCTAATACTTTTATTCGACATCTATGTTTCACCAGGCTAAGTTATCAACAGTGGTCACATTTTTGCTCTAACAGCTCACCTTTCAAAACTACCAAGCAGCTGTTAAATTTTCCCAGTAAAAAGCGTCAATTTTTTTAATATTATGCGCTTTTTTCTATTCATTTGCTGATAACCTAGTTTTCTTGTACCTGTTAAATCCTTCCATGTTCAACAGTTTCAGTTAGGAACTTTTGGAAAATTGAACATCCTTACCCGGAGATAACAGGAGACAGCTTGTTCACAGAGCCCAGCCGCTCCGAAAAGATCGCCAATTTCCTAGAATTAAACTGCAAAATAAGCAAGTAGTAAAAATTTAGGGATTGCTTGTACACGAAAAATGGAGAAGATACTTTTTTTCACAGAGGCATTCTGAACAGATGATAACGAAAGTAATGGTAGAGCTAAACCTCCAGGAGAGAATTGCCATCTGGTAGCTGTTTGGCAATTGATTCCAGCTTGTCATAATCTTCAGTCATCAAGGCGCATCTAATCATGTATTCGTAACTTTCAGCTTTCTCGAAATATCCCATAGCTTTACCCCTTAAAGCTTCTAATTCTTCCAAAATGTGTTAAAGGGTAGCTAAAGGTTGATTACGACAATCTTAGATAAAAAACGTTTTCCTTTGACTTCTAATATAGCAAGCCATGACAGCTTAATTCACCAGCGAACTAATGATACAAGGAAAGCAAACCAGGATTGACGCTCCAGGCAATGTAAACCAATTTCTTTCCATGCCTTTCTCTGCAGCTGATCATCGCCGTATGAACCTTGACTTCTGGCAGCTTCTTCCGCTATGTAAAACCAATCATTAAACTTGGAACGCATTGCAATTGCCAAGTCTTTTCTATCATTCTCGATGTAAATGGCTTCGGCTTCGTTGAATCGTCCATAAAACAGGGCTACCTCGGCTTTTTTCATTGCTTCTCGCTAAACGCACAATTTTAACGTGGGTGTTTTCACTTATAAGACATTCATTTAGCGGAATATTTTATTTTTTATAATGGATAACCTCGTAGGAAAATGTAGGGCTTTAAGTCGTTTATTTTATTCTGCAAACCTGGTCGGTCTGCTCCGCTTTAAAGTGTATACTGTTCTACACTGATGCTTCATTCTGTTTAATGTCTCCCAAAATTGTGTAAGCTACTGGCTTAATTCTAAATAAGAGTAAAATTTGCCCGGAAAAGTTCATTATCAGTTGCAAAAGGTATATCTGAAAGTGCTCTACAGTTTAGAAAGGTTTTCAAACTCAATTACGGCAAGCAAAAGTTTGATAATTTGTTATATACATTAATGTTTTCTAACTCAAGCAAATATATTTTTCTTCAATGGCTGCTTGAGTGTCTCGCACTGGTCACACGGTTTAACGGAGTAATGTAGAACATGTGTTACTTAGTGTGAAAACATACAATCTTATGTGCTTTATGGCTGTGGACAAGTTGCACAGTATTTCTAATCTATTTCATCTCTTCCTCTTTTGCAAGAATAAAAAGTATAATTTATTGGTTTACCTGAATTGAGTTAATTCTTTTAATCAGTTGTATCCCAGCATAGTCTTTCAACATTACAAAAGCATGTTCTGCGGTTGCTGTATCCAGTCGTTTCAAAGCAACTTCCGCTAACAATGACCACAACTTTGGATGACTGTTTTTCTCGATAAATTCTGTCGCTCCAAGGATGTTAACTTTTTCTAACATGTTTTTCGCATCTCTCAAACACTGCAAACAAAACGGAGTTAAAAAAGGTTTTTCACCATTATTTCACAGACCTAATTTCATTAAGTGTATTACGCATTTCAAGATAATCTAGAATCTCTAAGGCGACAGTGACAAGCTATTTTAATTCTGCAATTTCCAGGATTGCTAGCTAAATTCTCTAAAATTTAATTTAGGTTACAGAAGTCGAACAAGTGAAGTGCAATTTCTGAATTCTTAGTCAGAAATTAAGTCTATCACAAAACTCTATTAAATTAGTGACGGCTGATGTAAGCAGAGATTAAGTCTATTTTTAATCCTTCATACGCCACAAAATTACTTATGAAATTTTGTCTAACGGATTAGCAGAAATATTTGTTACTGCCACAAGAGAAATAATCTCCAAAAAACCTTGTCTTCAATTTCTTTAATACATGAGATTTTTGGCGTTTCTGGATTAAGCATAATTTCATCCATATCAACAGTTCGCATGACCAGATTATCAAATGAGCAAATGTATCCATTGTTTAAAACAGGTTCATCCGCTTTAAGATCTTTCAAAATGTACAACCTATTCTTTTCGGCTACAGCTATTGCGTCTTCATTTTCCTAAAATTCATAAAAAAGGATTTCTTTGATAACATGAGCAGTAATTAAAGCAATAAACAGATTTTCCTCAACATTTAGAAGTCACTAACAGAATCCCATTTAAAGTCCCAGACGTCTTTCCGTTCGTATTTCAGCTGTGAAGCGCCATGCTCTTTGAACTGAAAAAATTTCAGTACTTGTGAAACTAGCACAGCGGCCTTGGTGCCAGTGCAGTTCAAATGAATCCGATCTGGTCGTAAACCCAACGAAAATGACGACTGCAGTTGAGTACCCGGCAAAGTGTAACGATGAACCATTCCTGATTGTCGGCACTGTGTTTTTCATATTTATTACATACGGCCAAAAAATTAACAAAGTAAATTTTCTTAGAAGTTTTTTTTTAAATTGCTTTTTAAAAAATAAAAGATATTTTTTTAAAAACAACTATTTATACATTCCACTCTGATTCTATCAGAATCAATAGTATATACTGCTCAACGATACGCAAGAAAAACAATACAGTCTTTTGTACTACACCTTGTTGCATAGGAGGAAAAATTTTTTCTTTCTTTATTTCCTAACTTTCGCAACATACAACTTAATCCAAATCTTAAAAGACCAGAGTGCGTATCAGAAAAGAATTACCAGTAAAAAGAAATTGTTTGAGACTGCAACTGCACAAAACAAATCTCGCATCGCCTTCTTGCTTCCATCCGCTTTCTTGTCATCATTATATTTAATATCGTCTCCAAAGTAAATTCTGAATAAACTAATTTTAAAATGAATCTTCTTTGCCACTGCTTAACATATTTTACTGATTTGAGATGAACTAAGGCTCTCTCTAACTAACGCTAGTCAATTATTTTATAAAAAACCTTGTTTTGAAAGTTCGATATTGAAGAAACTGACAAAACTGATTAGCAATTTAAAATGTTTTTAAAGCTATTATGTTTAGTTTATAACTGTATATCTGTGCCTTACATGTCCGACGAAGTCCCTTCTAAGGTCATCGATGCCTTCTGCTTCTCCTCCGGATTCGTAAAATGCCAAACAAAAAATGCCTCCTCGCTGGCAACCACTACCACTGACCGATTCATAGCCATAAATCGCGGCTCTATTTCGCTAGTTTTGTTGTCCACCGGTGTTCCAATCCCATTGCAAACTTGTAGTTGATACTAAAATCATATACTGATCCTGTATAAAAATTTTGACTTCTTTTCGGAATCTTGCAAAATATCAGCACGAATTTGCCTTTGTGATTCAACCGCCCTCATTTAATGAGCGGACAATATTAAAAAATGAAAAACTGTAAGAATTTTTAAATTCCTATGCTTGGGTGGTTTAGGAATTTGTCCTCTGACGAAAGTGGCTTATTTATTGAAAAGAATTGTTTATAAACTAAAGAAAAAAATAACTTCATTAAGTTGTTCATCAGCTTTAGTTGCAATAACACAGTGATTTCCACAGGCTGAAACTCCTATAAGTTTTTTAACATATTTTAAATAGCACTCTTCCAGCTTGGTCTCGAAAAATGCCACACATTGTCGTAAACCTTCATTTGGTTCGTAACCGAAAACCACTGTTTGTCCACAGTACGCCCACTAAAACCATAATTTTTTCCTCTTTCTCATTCCACCAATTTCTTCAAAAAAGAAGCAAAAATGCAGCTTTTGAAGAATTTTATCAAAACAGCTTTTTTTTTTTAAAAGTTTTAATTTAACTGTAGCAATTTTAAAACTTATTTAAGTTGTCGCAAAAAGAAAACTGTAGTTTAGCAACAACGTTTTTTGAGTTGAACACCAAGCTGTATTTAAAAAATAATTAAAAAATTACTGTTGAGGGTTAAAACACTTACTTTATAATCATATCGAACTTTTGTAAAAAAGATATGACTGTCAATGGCAAAACACAACTGAGTTCCAGTGCCTTCCCAACTCAAATCGCTAATTGCTTCTCCCGGCAAATATAGCATTCGTAATTGCTAAAAGTAAGTCACCTTTAAGTTTGCTTCTGAACAGATGTCAAATTTCCTCTGCATTTTTAGGTACTTTATTTGAATAAACTAACTTCAGAATGTAATAAACTATAAAGATGACGATAAAACTGTGATATTTTTGACTTATCAGTTTCCGAAGTAAAGCACAGTTGTCATTATACTTCATAAAGTACCTCGCCGTACGCAGACATTAAGTGAACAACGTTCCGGCATGTTTCTAGAACAGTTTCAGCGCCACAAATTGCAATAAATCGACCATTTGGGCTCCATTTGGCTCCATTGATTATTAAGTTCGATATTCGTACAACCACTGGAACTAAAACGGAAGAACTAGTCATATATTTGGTGATAGATGTATGTGATATTACCTTTCTTCATGCTGTATAAAATGTCTACAAATAACAACATTTTTTTCTAAATTTTATTTGATAAAACTGACAGGGATCAGTGTTATTTCGCATTAACTGAACCACACCACACTGATAAGCAATAAAAAGCCTCGAACGGTTACCATTGACCTGATATTCATACGTGATACGTGTACTTTCAACTAAATCGAGT